AATATTTCCAAATAATGGCTAATTTTTCTAATTAATATGTATTTACAACATAATATAATACAGGATTGTTAAATATAATATATTCTAATCATGAGATGTAATATGCCAACTAGATTTTCTAGTCAATGGCTGACAATAACTGAAATATTTTCAGTGGTTAAATTTATTATTATTATTATTATTATTATTATTATTATTATTATTATATTAGCCTACCGGATATGTACAAACATTTGTCTATAATGATCCATCAAAATTTAAGTTTAGTTCTATTTTATCATGACGTATTTCCTTGTTCAAGCGAATGCGCACAAATAAGGTTGATTGCGTAATTCACTTTTTACGTGAATATGTAAAAACTTTATTATAATAATTAAGACTTCGTTTAATTGTGTTATTTTATCTCCCTTTGAAATTTTATTTTCGTTCGTTCCCCTAAATTTTAATGTCATTAACTGATTTGATGATGATAATGATTTGTAACCGTTGATGTAGGCTGTCAAGAGAATGTAAACTTAAATATATTACCTTGTAAATAATTGTTAAATATGTAAATATTATCGGTATTTTAGTTATAGTATTTGTTCATTAGATCAATGTAATGTGTATTAATAAATTACATATTAACATTTTGTATATTTATCATTTTACATTTAACCATTGTTCAACCATTTTTATATTTAACAATAGTTATATCTAGTTTGTTTATATATTTTGTCTGCCAACGCAGATGGATTAATATTGTTATTCAAACAATAACATTATATTGTAACTTGTATTTTGATGTTTACTGTACTTGCTTCTTATTTCTTTCTATGTTAGTAGTTAGTACCATTGATGCTGTTTCTTTGAATTTATTTGACCCACAAAGCACTGCTTATCATTACTAATTTAGTATGTTTGTTTTGCATTAATAAAAATAAAATAACAATAGTGATGTGTGAGGTTATTAAATTGTTGTAATTGAAGGCGTGTTTAGTTAGTGTGTTATTACAATTATTAGTAATACTTGTAAGATTTATCTAGTCTTAGGTTTGCGTCCGCCCTCACCAATCATCACTAAATCATATGTAAA